ATAACATAAAGACGTTGGTTTAAAAAAAAAAATTGTGGTATGAAATATAGCATGTTTTTAGGATAATTAATATGATTTTTCTACCTTCACCGCTAATAAATACTATATGTGTGTGAGAGAGAGAAAAATATGAGAGATGATAAAAATATAACATAAGAGACAACTTTATCATTTTTTAAAAATAAAATAAATTTTTCTATCTTTTTATGATAAATTTAGGCCCTGTTTGGCAGAACGGTGAAAATCCCCCATAAGTGCATTTTACGCAAGCCGAAACAAAACTTCTTACATTATTTCGTAAATTTATAAATCACTATTGAAAAGCTACTTATAAATTGTTCCAAACAAACCCATAATATCTTTTTTTTTTTGGCACGTGAGAAAAGTTAATCAATTTATATTGGACCGGGGGTAGCATCTTGTTCAGTCAAACGAGCTAATTGGAATTATCTCAATTTAAGCATTTGAAGAACTAGTTTCAAGTGAGTTTTGTCTCTTTTTTATCCTCAATCAAGGTGATTAATTAGTGAAATAATCAGTTAGGTTCCACTCTCTTATTACTATATTTAATCATTGCTCCCATTTATGAAAATTTCTTTGAGCATATGCATTTGGCAATTAATAGGCAAAGCAGTATACTTTATTGTAAATGTTATCATATAGTGTGTGTATTGATGTGCGGGAATCCCTGGATTTTCCCCTGGAACTTCTCTAATTCATGAGTGCTTATTTTCTATGCTGACGTGGAGGAGATGCGTTCGCCTGAAAACGGTACACGTGTGACAGAGTGCTTAGGAAAATCAAGAGATGAATGGAATAGGTAAAATGGAATGCGGAACAAAAACATTCCTAACGCATGTTTGTATTTAAAAGAAAAAGTAACACCTTTTCTCAGTCATTTAATTAAAATTAGAAACTCAATCTCGTGGAGATAGCTGGCCAGCATAAAGTAGCTCTTGAGTTGTTTACATGGAAATCAAACTATAATTTAAAAAGTGATTTTACAATATATAAAATAAGTATGTAAAAAAAAATTTGTGTTAACTTACATAAAAAGTACTTTTAATTGCTTTAGGAGTAACCAATCACCCCTTTATTTTAAACTGAGAAAAACTAAGTTTATAATTTTCAACCAAAATAAACACAGTATCAATTAAAAGATAGACTGTAAGAGTGTTTGGGTAACTAAAAATTACTTTTAAAAAGTATTTTTTTATCAATCAAAATAATTTTTTTTATATATTTAGTTTGTATATCATAAAGTTATTTTTAAAACATATAGAGATAAGATAGAAATATGAAATTAAATTAAAAAAAATATATATATATATATAAAAGAAAGGGCCCTTTTCGATTGGGGAGAAACGACTATGGTTTGGTACTCATCCAAACACCTATTATATTTAACACAGACCTTATATTTGACAAGCTTAGTTGTGCTAATATTATTTCAAAAAAATTAATTTTTTCCCAGCGAGAATAAAGAGAAAATAAAAGGAAAATAGACTACCTTTGAAATTGAGCATCTTGAAAATGGATTAGCCAAATAAGTGGTGGAGGTGGCGGAGGGGGGATTGTAAACCACAGACTAATTAAAAAAGGGTATTTGATGATTAAAAGAAGAACTGATTCTAAAGGGCAATTTCATCGATGTACAATTAGATTGGATTATAAATATAAATCATGTCGTCCTAATTTGCCTTTTCTTCTTCAAAGCGATTCTCCAATACGGATGCTCATCGAATCCATCCACATCCCGCACAGTTTTCACTACCCTATTCCATTTACCAACCCATTAGGGCTCTTACTATTACTAGCTTTCATTCAGTGAATTTAGAAAATGATTAATACATGAATATCAATATATTAGCCCTGACCCGACTAATTTGGAAAGATTAATTAAGTTTTGATTTACTTATAAATTAGTATATTATCTAATAATGCACATAAATATTTAAAGAGATCATGTCATATATATTATAATTGAGTAATTTAGTAATATTTTTAATCTTTTTAAATTAGTCAATTAATCTTATATTAAGTATCACAGTGTTAACTCAGTGTAAAAAATTCATAATGATGTATCTTCTTTTTTTTGGGCTACAAGAGAGCAGGATCGAACCCGCAACGCACACCCTCCACACACACACATACCACTCGGCCAAACGGCCAGTGGTAATGATATGTCCTTTTTATAAGTCATAATAATATGTATAGTATAATGTACTCCAGAAAAGAAACATGAATTCCACCTGCAGTGTATCATGAAGCTTCATATTACCTCCGGTCCTAATTATAAAAACTAGTTGATTAATTTGAGTAGATTAAAAAAAAATTAAGTTAGTTATTTATAGTAAATATGTATTGTCTTTCCTAAAATATTCTTACGAATTAAATATATCAACTAAAACTACCACTGTTAGAATGACTACTTTGGAAAAAAAATACATATATAAATAGGAGAGACAAAATAGATTAGAGTCTTATATTTAGAACTAAAATAGAAGCTAAACAAAATTTTATATTAAGAATCAGAGGTAGTATTTCATAATTTAAATCACCTTTTTTCATAATTTTTTATAGAAGCTAAACAAAATGGAGAATCCTTGCATAGACTAACATAAACATGATTAACCAAAACTTATCAAATTTCACCGAAAGAAAATATATTTCTCATTTCTTCTAAATATAATAGTTTGATGAATAATTCATAAGGATTAAAAAATTGGGTAATTAGTTTAGTAAGATACGTGTGTAAATTTTCTCCAAATATCCTTATAGAAAACTCCTATTTGAGAGATAAATTGTATTTTTTTTCCTAGAAAAAGAAATCTGAAGACTTATGTTTAAAATTAAAAAAATTATTAGACAACTCCTACATTTTTAGTGGTAATATCGACAGACGTATAATAAATTATATTATTTTCATTAGGTTACATAAAATAGCTTATTCTTATAAAGCATGTCTAACCTGGTCTTACTAAATAGAAAGGGCGTGGAGGCAGGGGAAAAAATATAAAATACGATAAAAATTATTTATGCAATTTAATTAAATAAGACCAGCAAATATAATAGATGTTATTAAATATAATATTGACAGGTTATATTATTCTTGATTCTTGACAGGGTTATAGCATCAGTCAAATCGATCATTGTGAAAACTGAAAAGCTAATTAAAGAGTGGATGCCGATGAAAGGGCGGATTATTAATATATAGTACTCCTCCGCTCCTTAATATAAGACCTATTTAACTAATTTGATTAGATTAAGAAAGTTAGGTAAGTTAGTTAATTATAAAAAAAGTGACACATTTTTCCTAAAATACCATAATCATCTTTCTTAATACTCCCTCTCCCTCTTTTACTTGATTATGGTTGAGGGAGTCTTCATAGGAGTAATTTAGAGAAAATTGATAAATATGAGAAAGGGGTCTTATATTTAGGACCAAAACCAACTCAAGAATTAGGTCATATATGAAGGACCGGAGTATTTAATATTGGAAAAATAATAACATGACAATGCTCTTATAAACTATTTCATCACTATTACATAAATTTTAATTTAATTAATTATGTTTATTGGCCAAAAGGATTAGATTAACAATATTTATATTCAATGAATTGAATATAAAAAATAAAAAATAAAAACGTAGACAAATAATATAGTGACGTATAGATTTTGTAGCTAGCCGAAAAAGGAGAAAATTTTGTTGAAGAAGAAAAACCTTCTGGCCGAGAAACGAGGAAATTTGAATTAATTAATATTTTCATCTCACAGAAAAGCTTTTCATTTGATTATAATCTTATTTTAACTCAGTTTCATGGGTCATTTCCAGATTTATTAATTGAAGCGTGCCATTAAAATTAAGGGGATAGCATTATTGTGAGAACTTTTTTATTGCAAACAATAGTTCACCACAGTTTCTTTTTTTGCCAGCAAATAGTTCACCACAGTTTTAATTCATAGACCTAATTACAAGCTCTCGTAATTTCTTTTTCTTTTTTTTTTTCCAAATAACTTCTCGTAATTTCTTTATTGATATATTTGCAATAAAAATAATACACGATTAATTTTCTAATATATAAACAAATAAGCATATTGAATAATAAACTAACTATGTGAAAGGATATTTGAAGACTTAAACTTCGCCATAATTAAGATAAAAGATTCTAGAAAAGGAATTATTTTCAAGGATAACAAACCACTATCATGATCATCAATATATCGATATCAACACTAATATGTCATTAATATAAGGAAAAACAAGTAACATTATTTATTAGTTATCATTAAAATCCAAGAAACCACTAAAAATTTTTGAAATTCAAGTTATTAATTTCGTTATAAGATATTAAAGCATAATAATTTTTTATTTACAGGATAGTTATAAATTCTAAAATTATTTGATATTTAGCACTATATAAGAGCTAACTATTTTACTGTTTGTTATTATTTGGTGAATTATTTTTTATTTTTTATTTTTATACTATCATTCTATATAAATAAATTAAAAAAATGATAACTAGCAGTATTTATTAATGCAAAATACAATTTTCAAGGTTTAAGGTCACACAAAAGGATCGATAATACTTGTAAATTTTAAATAGTGCTATTGTTTGTCCAATTTATTCTATATTTTTTAAACTTAAGTATTTGCTCATATGGAATGCTGGCTGGAAGCAATTTTGGATCATGATAATTATAAATTTTAAAACCCGTTCATTTATGGTTTTGTTATTTGGGTTTTTAGATGTAACTTTTCCCACTTGTACGTTGGGGCCGAATGATAACGGAAAGTTCGTTATTTATTCAAGAGCACGAGAGGGAGAAGAGACGCACGTATAAGTCTCGCAGGGAGCGTCACTCCCATATTGAGTCGCAGACGCAGTGATACCTAAACACAGAGAGAGATAGAGAGAATTTCGTGATTTGTTGTTGAAGTCCAAAACAGAGAGGGCAGGGTGAGTGACGGCGACGGTGGTTCCTTGCCGTTGCTTACAATGCCGGCGGTGAGTCAAAAAATGAAGTTTACCCACTCAATATTTTGCGGCAGAGGAGATGAGCAAGAGATAGAGCTTGAACACATGTCCAGGGACGAGGGCAGCCATTACAGCCTCGTCGGAGCCCCTCTTCCTTCTCTTGGCGCCAGTGCCGCTCGGACCTATCGCCGACCCAAGCTCCGATCCTGCATCATCTCTCCTTTCAACCCCCGTTACAGGTTTAAGCTTTATTCGCTCTCCTTTTCCTCTTACGGAATTTCCCAAAACCAATTCTTTCTGAATTTATTCACCTCGGTCCTGTTATTAAACCCACACACTAGAAGATTTTACAGTCTCAAAGTTTCTCCCCCTGCGTTAGTGCATGTTGCTTTTGCTTTATTTCTTTTGATTCGCACGTTCTAACTTGTTTAGTCAATGATGGAGATATGTTGCAGATGCTGGCAGACATTTCTGGTCCTTTTAGTTTTCTACACTGCATGGGTTTGCCCCTTTGAATTTGGATTCCTTAATGAATCCAAGGGTCCTCTTGCCATAACAGATAATGTTGTCAACGGCTTTTTTGCCATTGACATTGTTCTGACCTTCTTTGTTGCCTACCTCGACAAAAGTTCTTATCTGTTTATCGACAACCCGAAAATGATTGCACTGAGATACGCCAAAACCTGGCTGTTCTTTGATGTCATCTCTACCATCCCTTTTGAACTTGCTCGTAAAGTACTGCCCACACCTCTTCAGACATATGGCCTCTTCAACATGCTGCGTCTTTGGCGTCTCCGTAGAGTCAGTGCTTTGTTTGCAAGGTAATGTGAAAATTTTCCTTTACCAAATTCGATGTAACGTATTTTATTCAGGGACAATTGCTTTGGTTTTGCATATTGAACGAACAAGTTAAACTCAAGCTTGAGACGATACATGAGATTTGTTCTGCTCTGATTTTCATTTTTTTCTTGCCTTCTATAACTTGCATTGCGACTGATAAAGTATCCTTTCCCTTCTTTCTTCAACGTATCAGATTGGAAAAGGACAGGAATTTTAATTACATCTGGGTCCGCTGTTCAAAGCTGATATGTGTGAGTATTTGCTGTGCCATTTAATGTCAAATTCAGTTTCATACTTAAAATGCGAGTTAGTACGTAGACCAATCCATCTTATGATAATTTTGATTCATATGTAGGTTACAATGTTCTCAGTGCATTTTGCCGCCTGCTTTTTTTATTTTCTTGCTGCAAATCATGACATAAAAACCACATGGTTTAGCCTAGTTGCTAATGGCGACCAGATGCACCTGTGGGGACACTATGTAACATCAGTTTACTGGGCCTTGGTTACTTTGTCGACCGTTGGTTATGGTGATCTCCATCCTGTGAATACAAAGGAGATGACGTTTGACATTTTCTATATATTCTACATTCTTGGACTCAACTCATATCTTATAGGAAACATGACCAATATGGTTGTCCATCTCACAAGTCGAACGAGGACATATGTGAGTACATTATGTCATATCGTTTTATTCTTCACATACAACTATTGCTTCTGAATTCCTCAGCGCCGCACTCATTTTAAGAAGTTCGTTAATTATGGTTTTAAATGTATTCCTCTTTTCCTGGGATATCAGAGAGACACCGTTCAAGCTGCCACAGGTTTTGCACAACGGAACCAGTTACCCGTCCGCTTGCAAGAGCAGATGCTTGCTCATTTGTTTATGAAGTACAGAACAGATTTAGAAGGACTGCAGCATCAAGAGGTTATTGATGCTCTTCCAAAAGCGATTCGATCCAGCATATCACACCACCTCTTCTATTCACTTGTCGACAAAGTCTACCTGTTTCATGGCGTGTCCAATGACCTACTTTTTCAACTGGTAATATTTCTTTGCCCTTCAATGCGGCGGTGTTAATATGAAAACTGTTATAAACCTTTATCAGGGTGCAAAAGGATTTTAATCAGCTGCATTTAATACTATGCTTTTGGTGAAAAACCATTATAACCAATGTCGAAGAGCAACATTTGAGGAAGAAATGGACTCGAAGCATGATCATCGCTCCATAAACTCGCATTTCTAAACAAGAAGATATAGGGGTCCTCTCAAAAGACTTCTACACTTTCTTGATTGATAAATTTCTTACGTAAATTACAACTGGAAGCTCCTCGAACAATAATTTACATGTGCTTCTTGTTGTACTGGCTTTTGGATGCTACATAGATCATCTCACAATCACGTCTTGAACTTTTTAAAGGTCACAGAAATGAAAGCTGAGTACTTTCCTCCAAAGGAGGATGTCATTTTACAGAATGAAGCACCAACGGACTTCTATATACTCGTTACGGGTGCAGCTGTAAGATATTATTATATTCCCTTATTTTCCTTAGCAGTTTAATTAGCCTTTTATTATTCTATGTTTTTTTGAGTAGCACGTAGAAGACATTTTTAACATGGGGTTTTGACAAATCTGTACTGGGAGCAGAAAAGTACGTTGAGGGTTTTACATGGGTTTTAAGTATATATTCGTGAGCTAGCTGGCCATGCCAAGTAAATAAGGATACTCCTCGAATTATAATCCTGGATCAAATGATTCCAATTAATTGCTTGAAATGAAACCGATGGACATACACGGGTGTAATAAGAACATTGTTATATTACGATTTTGGGTAGATTTTTTTTCATTGAACTGGGAATATCACTCTGTTCAAGCAGGCGTCCTTCACTGAATAATATCTCTTCACTTTAAATAATATTTTGCCTCACTTCGACTCTTTCTATATGAAAACAAACTAAACTATCTCAATTTTTTTGTTGTGACCTGCAGGAACTTATCATCCAAAAGAATGGTATAGAACAGGCAAGTTTATTTGAAGTACAGTTTCTGTGAATTATTACTGCTTTGGTTTGTCTTACTGTCATACAGGAATGATAACGAGACTTATCACAATAATTGACAAATCATGTTGTCTGCAATTATTGCAGGTTGTTGGTGAGGCAAAGGTAGGAGATGTGGTTGGAGAGATAGGCGTGCTATGTTACAGGCCACAACTAATTACAGTTCGAACCAAACGATTGAGCCAGCTTTTACGTCTGAATCGCACTGCGTTTATAAATCTTGCTCATTCAAATGTTGGAGATGGGACAATAATCATGAGTAATTTTCTTCAGGTATATCATATTTGGACCAACTTATTCCTATATTAAGGCATGTTTTAATTTTGTTCACATGCTCTTCTACTCAACATTTTTTTCCCATTATTTAGTTTCTTTTATGTGACCACTCTTCTAATTACCTGTTATTCAGATTCCATGATTTGGTTTTTGAGTTTTTCCCTGTTCAAAAGTAATAGACTGCATAACATGGGATCTAAATAACAGGTAATTAGAAGAATGATAATGATAATCACTTTCATATTATAAAAATCAAGTCTCGAGGACGAAACAAACTGCTGGCTTCGCCTGGATGATATTTTGGTGTATGTTATAGTGATTTTCGCTATAACCTTTCACAGCATTTGAAGGAATCAAGTGATCCAATAATGGAGGGAGTTTTGGCGGAAACAGAGGCGATGCTTGCTCGGGGAAGAATGGATTTGCCTATCAGTCCTTGCTTTGCTGCAAACAGAGACGATGACCTATTGCTGCATCAGTTGCTGAAGAGAGGCTCAGATCCAAATGAAGTTGATAAAAATGGAAGGACATCACTGGTTAGCTGATTTGCGTCTTTCTTCTCTATGACTGCACAAGCCTCTATGCACCAAGTCTAACCTAGAAACTTACCACTTGCCTTCTTTAACAGCATATTGCCGCATCTAGAGGCAACGAACATTGTGTGGTTCTACTTCTTGAATATGGGGCTGATCCTAACAGAAAAGGTATTCTTAGAATCAGTAGTAATTAATGATTTCTTTTCTTTATCATCTCTTTAACATTGTGGAAGATGATCCGGGTAATGGAGCATTGCAGGCTGCTCACCACCTCCAATTGCTCGTTTATGCAGATTTGAATGGAAATATCCCACTATGGGAAGCAATGTTGGGAGGGCATGAATCAGTCGTAAAACTTCTCATAGACAATGGCGGGGACCTATCCTGTGCGGACGTAGGGCAGATGGCATGCTCTGCTGTGGAGCAAAACAACCTGGAATTGCTCAAAGAAATCATAAGATATGGTGGCGATGTGACGCAGCCCAGAAGCAACGGCACAACAGCACTTCACACGGCTGTATGCGATGGAAACACTGAGATAGTAAAGTTGCTTCTGCAGCAAGGAGCAGATATTGATAAGCCAGATGTTCATGGATGGACCCCCAGGACTTTGGCAGATCATCAAGGGCATGAAGATATCGTAGAGATGTTCCACAACATCCGAGAGGGCAAAAGACCACTTGTTATTCCCACGACAAAGAATGATGCCAAAACCCTCAGGAAGTTCCCAAGTGAACCAGCGACGTGTGCCCGTCAAGAAGTGACTTGGTTGGAGAATCATCCAAGGCCAAGAGCCAACCATTTTCACAATTCTTTCTTTGGCATCATGTCCGCTGCTGCTAACCGTGGTAAGCATTCATCGGCTTAACGACCATCGTTTTGTTCTTCCCATAACGATTTTGTTACTGATATTCAAAATTATGCAGATCAAGCCCATGCATCATCACAAGGCAATAATGATGTTGCAGAGAACCTGAATGGATTCGCAGCCAGGATAGTTCTGAGTTGTCCAGAGAAAGGGGAACACGGTGGGAAGCTCGTGTTTCTGCCCAAGTCCCTTGAAGAACTGATAGACATGGGTGTGAAAAAGTTCGACTTTTTGGCCAACAAGATTTTGACCAGAGAAGGAGCTGAGATTGAGGATATAAGGCTTATTAGAGATGGGGATCATCTCGTTCTTGCACGTGATGGAGCTCTTGAGTCAATGGCAATACCCCATGAAGAAGGCAGGTAGAGATGTACAGAAACCGAAATAGTTGGTAGAATTAGATACTGTTTAAAAAAAATAAACAAAATGTTTTTGGAAAAAAAGGATTCATCTACCTTTTCCATAATTATATTCTATGAGTAATAGCTGTAAGTAGGCTAAACTGGATCCAAACAGAGTGTGATTTGCTGGGCCAGTTTTTGATCGGTCGCTGCTCATGATGCGTGCAATACATTAAACAAGTTCGCCTTCAGTTAGGATGCGATTTTACATGTTTATGCCACATATGCGTTCACTTAACGCCGCCTGTCCAGGTCATCAGAGTTATTAATGGAATAACGGTGTTAAGCTTTTGCCAAGGAGAAATTGCGCATGATGAGTGGCGACGAGTTTTAACTTTCAACGAAAGGGAATCATCTTTTTGTTCAAGCATTCGTATTTCTCAGGTTTGAATAAAAGATGAAACACATAATACTGGAGTAAAAATGAGAGGAGGAAACAAAGAAATAAGGGTTAATTAATCTGTAAGTCTTTATAGTTTCAATCAATTTTGAATTAAGTCCCTATAGTTTTTTTTCTTTTTATAAAATCCTTATACTTTCAGCTGTTTTTAATTAGGTCCTTGTATTTATTTTTCTTTTTATCAAATTCTTATAATTTTACTAAATTTAATTAGGTCCATGTAATTTTAATTTTCATTTATTAATTAAATATAAACTTAATTAAATAGATTAATATTGAAATATAAAATATTGATAATGGAATTAAATTACTAATTATATAATAAAAATAAGTAATATAATTAATTAATTCAGGAAATTTTTTTAGAACAATTAATATTTTCTTGCTGGCAAAAAATAAAATTATTATAATAATTCATTATTTTTAGAATATTATAGTTTATAAACTAATATTAAATAATATATACTATTTTATGGTAATAGAATAGTAATATTAGAATTTATAAAATAAAGAATAAAAAAATTCAGGGACTTAATTAAAAATAAGGTAAACTTATAAGAATTTGATAAAAAGAAAAATAAATATAAGGACTTAATTAAAAACAAGTGAAGGTATAAGGACCTGATAAAAGAAAAAAACTATAGAGACCTAATTCAAAATTAGTTGAAACTATAAGGATTTACAGATTAATTATTCCAAGAAATAATAGAATGAAGGAGGATAAATAACTAATATAATACAATATGCAAAGAATAAAAAAAATTCGATGTTATCAGTCGAACTCAATCGCTGCCATGTTCAATGAACTCATTCAAATGCTTCGGCCTCAACGTGAGGGGACTAAGGCCTAGGCCTAATGCCTAATATCGCAGATAGGCCTAACTCGCCAAAAGCCGAAATCTCTACCGAACCCCCTTTCTCAATTTTGCGGCCAGCTAGCAAAGCAATAACATCTTGATCTCAAAAGTTCATCCGAGACTTCGAATTTTTTCACCCTTTCTGCGTTTCCTCTCTCTTTCGATGTAGCTCCTTTGTTTGCTTTCTCCTTTCATTTTCCAGAGAAGACTCTCTTCAACTTTGGTTGGCTACACAAGAATCTTGAGTATTGCTCTCCCTAGCAGCATCATGCTATTCTTATATCAAAACCCCGACGAACTTCCTGCAGAACTTTATACCTGTTCAAAACCAGACCGTAATTTAAATACACCTTGACATCTTGATTCCTGACATGCTTTTTTTTTTTTTTTAAACTAGAAACTAGAAATATAGAAGTCACAGTAAGCTGCCAATTTCATTACCTAATAATGTCTGTCCTCGTTGAGGCTCTGGCTTCTACCATTGAAGCTGAGGTTTTTACCGGTGAAGCTCTGGTTTCTGCCGTTGAAGCTAAGGTTTCTGTCGTTGAAGCTTTGATTTCTACTGTTGAAGCTGAGGTTTCTATCGTTGAAGCTGTGGTTTCTATCGTTGAAGCTGTGGTTTCTACCATTGAAGCTTACAGTTCTGAGTTTCACCTCTCCCCTGCTGGTTGTCATCTCATCCAACATCTCAGCGTCATAGAAATCTTCGGAATCTTTATCACCATTAGCATCAGCCGAAACCTTGTCCTAAATTATCGTTTTTAACTCAAATGTTAAAAGCATGCATTGAAACGTGTGCGCACACAAAACAGAAGACGTCTAAACATGCAAAAAATACAGAAAAATTACTCTTAAATTCAAAACATAATTAACTTCAATGCGTAGCATATCTTGTAACTCCAGAGGGAGAGTGTTAATGAAAGAAGGACTTACCACAAGTGATAAATTCCGGGAAACAAGTGGATCACCAGCAATTTCTTCGTACTCAGAAGCATCTAGCTCCTGAAGATGGCTGGGATCGAATAACCTGGGAAGCAGATGCTCTCTTATGCATATGAGAAGGAAGAAAGGTAGTGGAAACAATATTCCACCTATAGGGATCCATGTCGCTCCCCAGCACACCACCAAATAAACAAGCTGCAGAACGGTGAATGCAGCTATGCTCTTGAAGGGAACTGACTCCACGAATGAAGCATGAGAACCTGCCAAGATTCTGCTCAACATACAGAAATCACAACATGAGAACAATGACAGAAACTGAATATACAAAAGATCTGCTTTTTAAACTTGTAAATCAACTAACTTGTATCTCCTGCTTGGAGTGATGAAGAGAAGCAGAATCCTTTCCCAGAATTGATTCCCTGGAAGACTATCAATGGCCATGTAAGCAAAATATCCCCAAAGAACAGAGGTCGGAATCCTTTTGATGACGGGGATGCCAAAAATTGATGCTCCCACAAGGAATGACTGCAAGGTATTGCTCATTCTTTGCTCGTTTACTCTAACTGGCAAATAGGCATCTATGTGTACCTCAGGGTCAAATTTGTCTTTTTCATCATCCATGTCCTCATGTTTCGTCACAGCCTCCTTTAAAGTCTCTAACTCCTTATCCTATACCATGTTCAAAAATCAAAACCCTGTTTACATCAATAACAATTCAACTTCGAAGTATCCTTGTAGTTTCTAGGTCTTCGGCACTTACTGTAGGGGCTGTGTCCATTTCTATGAACACTGCCTGCATCTTTCCAACCAACTCAGAGTTGCTCCTTTGGTACTTAATGCATTCTTTGGCGCTCTGTACCACTTTCTTTCGGATCAACTGCACATTGGGTTATTTTTTATGAGAAAAATCATATAATTGATTGCACGTTGAGAAGCTAGAGAAGCATTCATCCAAAAAGGATTCTTGCCTGCCTCTTAAGAACCGCCAGACTTTTTGTATGCATTGGCGACTGAGGAAGGACTCCATTTGATGGAGGAAGCCCAAGAAGACCACACATAAGAGTCTAGACAGCATAAAATAATCATATCACTATCAGTCAAGCTCGTGAATTCACAGAGCAGAAAAGCAAGCATTTTAGGACAAAATAACATACCAAAATTCCAAGCAAGAACATATCGTAGTGGTAGGCTGATGGCTTTTGAAGGTTGAACTCCTTCTGTTGAGACATCTGGGAGGCTACACTATGATCAAAGAAGTATAATCCTGCTATCATCACAGCTGGAACAATTGCAGCAAAAATATAAACCACAGGCACCTTCACCATATCCTGCATTTTGTAGCTAACTGTCAAATCGTTTCTAGGACTTTCGTATTCAAATCACAACTTAATACAAGTTATACAACACACGCGTGCGCGTATACAATAATACCTTCACCACTGTCCAGTGGTATAGAGACATAGAATCCCAAGGAAGGGGACAATACAGCCTTCTAGGAACTCCATCTGGCAATTTGTTTGGTACAAGATAAGATAACAGAGTCCACAGCACAACCATCAATGGAACTCCATAATCTGCGACGAGACCTCGTAGCCATCCTACATTTAACGCAACAATAATGATATAACAGCAATCAAAACTAAATTATGACTAATAAAGAAAAGCCTTTTGTCTGTGGTCTCTATTTGTATATCATTTATGTACCCGTTCCATATCGCCATGACCTTGCCCTTCTACTTTTTATGGCAGTGAAAAGTAACCCAAAAGCAAAAATGATGGCAAGCAATCCATTTGTATACAGCCATTGGAATTGAAATTCCTGCGCAGACGGATCTACATCCTTGGGAACACCAAACTCTCCTATTAGTCCCTGAGGTTAAATTTCAAACGATTAGAGAGGTTGATTTCTGAGATGCCAAAGTCTAAATTCTTGCTGTAAAGAAAAAGCAATACCCTTATAGCTTGTTGAAAGAATAGGACAGTAATTAACATGCCAAATAATTCCCCGGCGATTCTAGTAAACCTAGTGATAACCGCGCAAGCATTGAAAATTGCAAGCAGAATCAACATGAGTCCAGTCCAGACACAGACCCTGAAAGCATAGGAACATATTTAGGAGCAAAATATACGAAGTCAAAGCAAAGTATTTGGGAGGAAGAGGAAGACAGAGGCAAAATTATGTTTTGTATCATACCAACCAGCCCAACCCAGAAACAAATTAGCACCCAGCTCTGGCCTCTTCTTGCAAAACTGGTACAGATAACCATACATTATAATAGTGGGTTCAGCAACCCCCAAGATCAACAAAGGCTGCCCACCAAATATGGAGTGGATAATTCCGCAAATGGCAGTTGATGCTAATGTTTCCACTGTGCTCAAGCTTCCGTCTAGTGGGAAAAAAAAAACACAGGTGATTCAATTTTGAAACTCAATTTTTGGTACTTTTTAACATAGTATCAACCAAGAGATTAGACGCCATAAACTAAAGAGGCTGTTTACCTGTATCCTTATTAAGTTGTTCTCCAAAGGCAATGACAGGGAGAGCAGAAGCGAAGAACATGTAGAAAGTTGGAGCCAATATCCTGGCACAGAGGACCACAGAAAATCAGAACTATTCAGACTCAAAGAGGAAGAAGAGAGATGTGTGACGTCATAAACGAAGATTACTTGACGCCAGAACAGAATGCGCCAGTCCAATCTTGTTTATAGCATGCAGCTCTTCCTTTGACATCATGGACAATGCCGCGGAATGGCCTATTCTTGATTGCCATAACTGATGCGAAAGAAAAAAATAATCAGAGATAAGACAATAAACAGGATTACCTAAATGCAGAGCACAAGATATGAACATCAATCCAAGTGCTCAGTGACCTTATATTTTAGGGCACGGGGTTAAGTTTGAAATTACCGCGAGTTACTCACCAGAAATCTTTCTGGAAGTGCAGAAAGACAGTGATTTCAAGAAAAAGCTTTTTGTGGAACAGAAGGGCTTTGTTCTTCGGAACCCGAGACTTTTATAGTGTTGGAGTTACCATACATGAACTTATATTTTAGGAGAAGAAACCAGACAAAGGAAGCTTCATGGAATGCTGATATATGAAGATTGAGTAGAAGGGCTAACGATGCAGATTGAGCGCAGAGACAGAGGAGAAGAGGCAATAGAAGAGAATGAAGGAAGAAGAAGCCAGGGAGATAGTAGAGAGGCGGCGAAGGGGCCTCCGGCAAGAACACCGAAATGCAGAATGAAAAAGGGAACGGGGATGCGAGACAGTCGGAAGGGAGAGATTATTATATCATGTGATAATAATGTTCATGAGAGTTTCATGAGGGACTTTTGTCGTGTGTAAAATGTAAAGCGCGTGGGGCCCAATTGAATCACAGGGGGATCTCGCTCTGTTCCCATTTGGTTTGGAGTAACTTTTACCGTGGACGTTGGCTTTGTGCGTAGTATCTCCAAAAAATCTGACGATTACAGCTAGCAGATGCGACATTTTATGGGACCCATTTGACTAACACGAGCACACTACTGACCTCGTACGCCCAGCTTGCCGGGAGAAGGCGACAACTTGGTTTGACCAGTTTGACTGGCGTGCCGTGTTTTTGTGTTGTAGTAATACTGAAAAAGAGTTAGACCAAAAAAAACTGAAGGGGTGTTTGGATAAAAACCAAATCATGGTTTCAGAAGTACTTTTACGGATTACGAAATAAATATGTGGAGGAAATTATTTCGTTTTAAGAAAAAGTACTTCTGAAACTATGGTTTTAGGTTTCTCAAACACCCCCTGAGCAAGAGGGCCACAAAACACAAATCCGTTTGTTGGAGCGATGATACATTGAGTGATTGAATGAATAGAGCCTGCTCTGTTCTGCCAACTTTACAGCTATTGGCCAGCCAATTTGAGAACCTTTCCTCTGCCCCCCATTCTCTGCTCAATTGCCCTTTCCTTTCTCCTTCTCCCATGATCATGTTCATGTTTTCACACCATACTTTTTCTGCCTTTGAATAAATTAAAAAAAAAATTTAATTAGTTATGTGTAGAAAATAGTTAAGACTACCATTTGATATAACATTTACTATATACAACTAAGATAAGAATTCTTTGAAAAAAATAAATAAATATTAGAGACAAAATGAATTGAAGTCTTATATTTATTACTAAATTGAATGTTAAACAAACTCTTATATTAAAAGCCAAGAATAATATTCTACAAGTTATTCAGATATATCCTCTAATTTCATACCGTTACCAATATATATACACATAGTATAACGACCATGACTTTGAAAATTTCATGCAACGACAACAACAACAAGCCTTATCTCACTAGATGGGGTTGGTTATATGAATCACACGACGCTATCATGCTTTGTCAACAACCCAGTCCTTAGATGTGTTGTTGACTATGAGGTCTCGTTCAATGACCTCATTAGGCATTCTTCTCGGTCTTCCTCTGTCCCTTTTTATGGGACTCCATCATGTCTGATCCACTCCCCTCATCGGGGCCTCCAATGTCCTTCTCTGCACATGTTCAAACCATCTTAAGTGATTTTCAATCATTTTCTCTTGGATAGGTGCCACACTGACTCTTGCCCTAATATTTTCATTTCGAATCCTATTTTTTCTTGTATGACCACACATCCATCTCAACATCCTCATTTCTGCTACCTCGACTTTATGCTCATGTTTTCCCTTTATTGCCCAACATTCACTACCGTACAACATAGCTAGTCTTATAACAGTCCAATAAAATTTTCCTTTAAGCTTCTCAAGTACCTTCTTATCGCAAATAACTCCGGTAGCTTTCCTCCACTTTAACCAGCCAGCTTGTATTCTATGAGAAACGTCTCCCTCAATTTCCCCATCCTCCTGTATAATGGATCCTGGATATTTAAACTTTGATACTTGAGGAATAATTTGATCCCCCTATCTTCACCTCTAAATCCCCATTGTCTTGCCTCCCCCCAAAATCACAATGCATATATTCTTTTTTGTTCCTGCTCAAGTAGAAACCTTTCGACTCCAAAGTCCTTCTCCATAACTCCAATCTAGTGTTAATCTCTTCTTTTGATTCAGCCATGAGAACTATGTCATCCGCGAAAAGCATGGACTTAGGGATTCTTTCTTGAATAGGTTTAGTTAGAACATCTAGAACGATGTTGAACAAGTACGGACTCAAAGAGGATCCCTGATGTAAGCCAATCTTAATAGGAAAGTCCTTTGTCTCACCTCCAGGCGTCCTTACACTAGTAGTTACCCCCTCATACATATCTTGTATGGCTTTGATATAAGCAACCCATACACTTTTCTTTTCTAAAGCCTTCCACATTACTTCTCTTGGCACACGATCATAAGCCTTTTCCAAGTCAATAAAAACCATATGTAAATCTTTTCTTTTACTCCTATATCTTTCCATTAACCCCCTTAGTAAATATATTGCTTTCGATGTGGATCTCCTTGGTATAAATCCAAATTGGTTTTCCAAAATAGAAGTCTCTAACCTCAACCTATATTCCATCACTTTTTCACATAACTTCATTGTATGACTCATAAGTTTTATCTCTCTGTAGCTTGCACAGTTTTGAATGTCTCCTTTATTCTTATAAATAGAAACTAAAATGCTTCTCCTCCAATCATCTGGCATATTCTTAGAGCGTAAAATTTCATTAAAAAGCTTGGTTAACCACACCTCACCCTTATCGCCCAAATATTTCCAAATTTCAATAGGGATACCATCAAGCCTAACGGCTTTACCATTGTCCATTTTCTTGATAGCTGCCTTAATCTATTCGATACAGATCCTGCAGTAAAAAGCCAAATTCTGATCATCTTCGTTAATTAGCAAGTCTTGTAAGTCCTGAGTTGCATAATTGCTTCTCTCATTAAACAACTTGTAAAAGTAATCCTCCCATCTGTCCTTAATATCACCATCAGTAACTAGTGCTTTACCATCTTCATCCTTTATACACTTTACTTGATCCAGATCTCTCTTTTTCCTCTCCATTTGCTTCACAATCTTGTAAATGTTTCTTTCTCCCGTCTTTGTTCCTAACTCCTGATAAAACTTCTCATAAGCTTTAGTACGTGCTTCGCTCACTACTCTCTTCGTCTCTTTTTTAGCCAACTGATACTTTTCCTGGTTTTCTACACTATTGCACAGATGTATGGCCTTAAAACAATCTCTTTTCTGTTTGACTTTCTCTTACACACTCTTATCCCATTACTAAGTCTCCTTATCTCTCTGACCAGGATCTTTGGATTCTCCCAAAATTGTTTTAACTACCAAACGAACCCTTGTAGCTATCTCTTCCCACATCATGTTTGTATTTTCCTGCGACTCCCAAATCCCTTCTTCCAAAAGGTTCCTTTTGAATAACTCCTGCTTTTCACCCTTTAACTGCCACCACTTAACCCTGGGTTTTACCACTTGATGGTACTTTTGCCTGGTACTCTTAAAACGTACATCAAGGATAAGTACTCTATATTGGGCAGTCACCCCATCTCCCGGAATCACTTTGCAATTAGTACACGGTCTTCTGTCTGAATTCTTAACCAAAAAGAAATCAATATGTGATTTTGAGGCACCACTCTTGTACGTGATTAAATGCTCACCTCGCTTCTTAAAACAAGTGTTGACAATCTTGAGATTGTATGTAAGAGAAAAGTCAAGAATAGATTGTCCTCCACTATTAAGCTCCCCAAAACCAAAACCACCATGGGCCCGCTGAATTGTCCTGCTTTCTCACTGACATGTCTATTAAGATCCCCACCGATAAAATTTTTTTCTTCGAGTGGTCTGCTTTGAACCAACCTCTCCATATCTTCCAAGAACTTATCTTTAAGATGTACCTCTGCCCCAACCTGAGGTGCATAGGCACTAATGATATTGATAGTATCCTTTCTAACAATTACTCTTAAAGATATTATTCTGTCCTCAAACCTTTTAACCTCTACCACGTTTTTTTCCATGTTCCATCAACGATGATACCAACCCCATTCCTTGCACTCACCTTTCCTGTGTATCAAAGTTTATACTCTCCAAGTTCCTTGGCAACTTCTCTAGTCCATTTTGTTTCTTGGAGGCACAAGATATTAATCTTTCTGTCCCTCATAATTCTTGCTACTTCCATAGATTTCTCATTCAGCGTTCCAATATTTCACGTGCCAAATCTAATCTTAGTCTCATGAACTAACTTCTTTAGCCGCTTTCGTCCAAGAGAGTGCGGTAGCCCTCGCTTATTTAACACTACATCCGGGCAACGATGCAGCGGTTCTAGCTCATTTCTCACTGTACTCGAGCCATATAGTGCGTCACTTCTGGGCAACGACCTAGCATTAGCATAATTACTTCATTGATCCATGTTCATGAGATTCGAAGGGTTTTTACATTGGCTGTCGAGGGCCTAACACAACCCTCCTCCTTTATTCGGGCTTGGGATCGGCTATACAATATGAAAATTTCATGCAATGCATAAGATTTGCATTAATGTATATGTATAGATGAATGCGTCGGGAAAAATTAACAACTATACTTAAATTTGATAAGGAAAGAATTAAAAATTGAAATCATGTGGAATCATGTGCATATATTGACAAGTATTCTTTACGTATTATTTCTTGCCTACTTCGTAAGTACCAAGGGTCATATAAAGTTGATTTCGTAAAATTTTCTATGCCCTAAAATTTGTAATACCCTCTTACGTGATGGGAAAAACAGTCTGTATCCACTAATGTTTTCACATATACAGAGTATGGTGTACGTCTGTAACTTTTATACGATTGTTTATGACTTTTCTTGATTCAGAAGCCATGCATGATAAGCCTTATTAGATAAAGTTAAATTCAGAGTGTGCTGTGTTAAAATATCAAGTGATCTTATTTTCCTTTTCACAATGACGAACAAGAATGAATAAGACTCTAGTAAGATAATATTAAAAATTACTTAAATTTTATGTTTAGCGTCACATCTCAAGGACGATTTCTTCTAGAGTTTTCATTTTCGGAATCGTGGGTACGTGGCATGGAATCTGGAATTAGACGTAACTTAAGCATGCATGACGAGATTCTCCAAAACTCGCAACACAACAAACAAAACGGCTTGGCACATGATCTGTACCTAATACGTCCCTATAATACAGACCTCATTGATTTAGAGTGCCTCTCTTGGCTCAATTAATGGACCCCGTCAAAAAGCGCGTCGAGAACCTTTCCTGCTGCTCGCATCGGCTCAACCTAATTGGCTGGCTCATTATAACTATCATGTTCGGTAAGGTTTACTTGAAAAGCTAAACAATGGAATGGAGGGACCATTCATATCAGAACCTACCAGTTCTGCATTTTTTTCTGCTGATCAACATCCATCGTCGGCCACCTAAATGTTTGGCATGCAACGTGTTACAATTGGTATGTGAACTCTATTAATAATCTATACGAACGTACTAGCTTATCGCCATCTTTGAATTCATAATTAATGTGGATCTGAAAATATGCTCCCCTTGTATTGTATGTCAGTAATGCTGAATGTGAGCGAAGGACAGATGATTTGCCTGAAACAACGGTGGCCAGGAATCAAAAAATCAGGTCACGTACGTGAGCTGGTTCCTTTTACAAATTGGATCAACAAGTTGTTCTGCAAAATGGCTTCCACTTTCAAACCAGCGGAAGCAAACGTGATTGACTTCATGTTGCTGAACCATATGTTCACAGATCAAACAGCCTCTCTGAGGGGAAATTTTCCTTATGTGAAATAGATCAGAGCTAAATTACTGGAACCTGAAAAGGGTCGAGATAGGCGACTCGATGACAGCATGAGGCGTGATCAAACTTCATTCACGTGTTGTAAGCGTAGGTACAGTCAGTGGTTCTGAGTTGTCCAGAAAAAGGGAAGAACATGGTGCAGAGCTGGCGTTTCTGAGTTGTCCAGCGTGGTTTTGAGCGGCAGCAGCCTGGGTTTTATACATTTGTGATTTGTCACGAGTATTAAAAAAAAAAAGGGACCAGTTTTAGTGTTCATTATAGGATTAATTAACCACTATGGTGCTCTTGACTGTAATGAAATCTACATTGTCTAAATACAATTTTAACATTTTAAAATTGCAATTTCCAATTTTTATATTAAAAAGGTTATTTTCTTAAATCTACTCACATTTTTTGTTGGCAACTGTAGAAGACCAAACAAACACACTCACAACTTGATACAAGAAATGGCCGATCCTAATACTGACCAGAGTCTAAAGAGAGATTTACAATGAGATTTTAAGAAAAAAATAATTATTAATAAGTAGATATGAAAATAGGTCAAGTCTTAAACCTGTGACAAGAGTTTAAAACTTGAGTTCAAGTCTGAACCTTCGTAAACCAATTGGGCCTAAAGCATTTTTAAAAACCTACTTATAATATAGGCATTTAAAAAGACCTCATGTTTTAAGCTTTGAAGGCCTAAATAGGTTTTGAGCCTGTTAAAACCTATACAAATATAGGCTTTTAAAACACTTAGAAGCTTATATATTTTAATATATATTAATAAAATAAATTTTAAAAAATTAATCAGTATTGACTTTAAATTTAAAAACTTAGCTTGTTTATTTAATTTAAAAGGCCTCTAAATAAGTTTTAAGCATATATTTACTAAACAGGCCATGTCATACCAAGTCCTAACTAGGCTAAGCTGTAGGCTTCTGATAGGAGCCTAATCTATTTTCATCTCTGTTATTGAGTCTTAATAACAAGTTTTTAACATTATTAGAACTTGTTATTGTGAGTTGTTCTATTGTCTTAAGATTTTTTTAGTAATTATTTTTTTTAGCTAACTAACCAAGCGGCGCTAAGAAAAAGCATCTACAAATTTCACAAAAAGCAGTGTGTTAGATCCATCCAGGAGATGGGAATCGCGGGATGCGTAATCTCCTTCTCTGCTTTCACGTGATTTCCTCAACCTTTTCAATGTCTTCCGGTCTTCCTCTGCTTTTTCTGTTTCAATGCGCGAACCCCTACAAAAAATAAATAAATCAAATCCACAGCCCGAGATTATCATTCATGTTAAGGTTCTTAGAACTTCCAATAGATATTTCTTTTTGGCGTACCACTCCTAATTTTTAATATAACAACTAATGAACTAATTTAAATATTAATTAAAAAATTAACTTAAATAGATTAAAAAATTATTTCAGTTAATTATTTATAATAAACAAATTTTATTTTTTAAAATACCTTTGCTGATTATTTGTCTTAACTAGAATAATCATTTCATAAAATATTTAACATATATAACTACTATAAATACTATTTAAAAAAAAGATAAATATAAAAGGTATAGTGAATTGAAATCCTATATTTATAATCAAATTAAATATCAAATTAGTTTTTATATTAAAAACTGAAAGTAGTATATAAAATTAGATATTTGTTAATTAGTAGCTATATAAACACAATGGCGTTGCGTGCCCGTCAGTAAGACTCCGCCAAGCAGTACTCCCTCCCCCATCGCCTAATTGATTAAATCCATGGTTAATGAACATACTTGGATATACTTATTAATTATTTTATTCAACAAAATCACGATGCAATTTAGTGGGGTTATAATTTAGTTTAGTAGTGATCAAAATTTCATATCCATAGCTTTCACTTCATAGAATGTTTTGAGCATAAAATGTTTTATAATAAAGGGGGGAAAGGTGGAGCATGGACCCGGGTCTGTCTTTGGCCCGATAAGAGAAAATACCGACCAATGGATTGGCAGGGAAAGCCGGCAAGGGAAGCATCAACCGGATTTTATCAATAATGCCCATTTAACATTATCATGAATATACTACTTCCGATCTTAATTATAAGATCTTAGTTATAAATTTAAATGAGATTTTATAATTAAAATTGGAGGTAATATAATACAGTGATCAAGAGAATCAAATTAATACAATAACATGAACATAATCCGCTTCCATCCAATATACAAGTCAACTTAGGTAAATTTAAAACTAGGGTTAAGGTGCATCCAGTACCATTAAATATTTTCTGAGGTATATCCAATACCTTGAAGTATTTTGTAGTGTATCAAGTACTCCGAAATATGTTTTAAGTGTGTCCAGCTCTAACACCCTAAAATATATTTTTTTTGCCTTAATGTTGGATGCACTAAAAAATATTTTTGGGTACTGAACACACCTAAAAACAATACTTTAGAGTGCTGGATACACTAAACAATACTTTAGAGTGCTAGATACACGAAACAATACTTGATAGTATTGAATAAACTGAAAAAAAAAAATTTCATACTGCTGGATATACCATAAAATACTTTAAAATGTTAGATGCACATGAAGAAGTACTTTGGGGTGTTGAATGTAGTTTAACCCTTAAAACTAAGTTAAAATTAATTAAAAGTATAATAAATACATAAAAACATATTGATTTTTTCAAATATATGTTATTTATGAAAATGGCCAGCAAAAAAAATATAAGAAAGGATTTGTGAGGGGAAAAAAAAGAGGGTCTTATAATTAAGACCCAAGGTAATATAATTCCTAGTCAATATATGCACGATAACTAATAAAGAGACATTTAATCAATGAGATAAAAATGAAAAAAATAAATAAATCTAACATACATACATAGTGCAACTTATAAAAAGATTAATTGTGTATCAAATATCATAATTTTACATGTAGGAGCCGAGGAGTGCACACAAACACCAGATTTGAAGGTCCACAACAATTATTTTCGAATCCCTTTCTTTAATAATACAATAAACGTGAAAGATCTGATTTGATTAGAAAGGAATATACTCGTATATCAGGTTCATACCAGAATTTATTAACGGAGGAGTTGAATGTTGTTAAAATAATCGGGAACCTAGACGAGGGAAGTAAACGGAGAAAGCATGCATGTGAGGGGCGGAGAGATTCAAAGTTTGAAAATTTTCTGGTGGACGTTAGTTAGCGGAGCCGATCATTTTGACTTTCTGCGAACAGAAATATATCCCTCCCTCCTATTCTCAAATCTCAGCCTTACGTCCCCATCAATATCATCATGTGGAAACCTTCCGTCTCCCTCTTCTTTTACTTCATCCTTCTCTTCACCCACTCCTCCGACGCCGATGTCGGCACAGCCGCCCAGTACGGCCCTCCGTTTCTACGTAAGTCCCTATTCATCATGTGTGCGCGCGTGTTAATTGTCTGCCAAAGCGTATGTGTGATGTTTAGTTCGATATGTATGTTTATGGATATATAACAGCGACGGCGTGCTTCGGAGGAGATGCGTCGGAGTTTCCGTCGAGCAACATGTTCGGATCGGCGGGGGAGGGAATATGGGACAATGGGGCGGCGTGCGGCAGACAGTATCAGGTGAGGTGTATAAGTGCTGCGGCGCCGAGGACCTGCATTGCGGGTCAGACCATTCAGATTAAGATCGTGGACAGAGCGCAGTCCTCTCGCTCTCGTGCTTCCTCCGACGCCACTTCCATGGTCCTCTCCGCCACCGCCTTCCGCGCCATCGCCAACTCCTCCGCTTCCTTCATCAACATCGAATTCCAACAGTACCCTCTCTTTCTCCTTAATTCCCTCGCTATAGCCCTGTTTTAATATGTCTTCATCAGGATTAATCATTCATGTGGCCTTCTTTAATTTGTGCCATTTGCAGGGTTTGAATTGAATTTGATCATAACGGCAATTGAGGAAGAGTCTATGTTTGTATTTTTAGCCCAATCAGGGCCTTATATGCAGGGTATCTCTCTCTCTTCCCAACCATTCGAGGCTTTTTCCAAGTTTTATTTACTTGTACGCAGCCCGTAAGCATAACTGTTAAACTTATTTTATTAATATCATCCTGGCGACTTGTGCGTTTCTTACTTTATTACATAGTATGATATCATTGGCAGAGGGCACGTCAACTCATCATCTCTGGCGGCGAATATTTATCACCATTCACATGTACTATCAGCGAAAAGAATATTACTGTGATACTCAGTTCTGACTGAAAAATTAACGAATTGTTTTATATGCGGATTAATTTTGGTGTCTAGGTTTCTTGTTTTAAGAGCATGGATATGTGCTCCTCTGACGGGAAGAGAATTTTTTGTTATTTATAAATATGAATGTGTTATTTTACTTTTTGTTTAGCAGATAAAAATAAAGTTAAAAAAAATAGAGTTAATCAATTATCAATAAACTAGACGTGGGATGTTTGATATTTATAGATGGGGATTTAGTTGCGTAGCTAAAGTGAGAAGCGTAGAAGCATAATTGTATACATAAAAAAATTGTGGAACATTGCAAAAATGAAAATGGGAGGAGTTAAGGCGGTTGAATAAAGGAGGCGTTGACAATAAGTACAACGAGAGGTCAAACAGCATTATCTTATATCCCACGGGTCAAACTTTGACTGGCATCCTCAAGAAAAAATGAGATCTCAATCCGATACTGATCCAAGCTTTTGGATCTTCACTCTTCGGTATCTTTTCACCCGCTTATTCTCGCCACCTGTGAAAACTATTTTTCTTACCGTGTGGATCTCAACTATTTTACTCGGTCAATTTAGAGTAAAATATAAAATTCCTAAGAATTCACCTTTTTTATTAATAATATTTAAATTAAATAGAGAAATTAATCAAGCCTTATTTTTTATATATATAACTTGTAATTAGAAGCGAATTCCACGCCTGGTCCATAGTTTAAGAAACGGGGTGTAAATTTCATATTGTATGTAATTTAATATATTATTTTCCTGGTTCCAAAAGTGGCAATAATCACGTTCATGCATGAATAGTTGACCAAATTCCCGCTATGACCCAACCGTTTCATGCACTCTCCCTTGGGAACGCGGGTGACGGCCAAACTCAGCCGCAACTCGCTTTCACGCGTGCAGACTTGACGCTTCCAAATGTTTGATATGGGCTTTGGGTTAACAAAATAGATTATGAGTCAAAGGCGAGGCAAGGAGCACGGAAATCAGCACCAGACATTCTGAAGGTTGATTGCTCATTAGCCGAATATAACAATTTAGACCCTGAATATTTAGTATAAAAGCTAATTAATTAATTTGAGTAAATTAAAAAAGTTATTAAGTTAGTTATCTGTAATAATTATATGCTGTCTTTCTTAAAATACCCTTGCTAATCATGTATTAGTAAAAATTATCAGTGTAACTATTATAAGGATTATTTTAAAAACAATAAATAAATATTAGAGACAAAATATATTGAAGTCTTATATTTAATATCAAATTAAAAGTTAAACTAGTTCTTATATTAAGAAGCAGAGACAGTATATTATTGTCAAGATTAGAACCACTTTCCATGCATAATGACTGTTGAGGTCCATCGCTGCCCTATTTCATCAATCAATCAATTATTTTCATAAATAGTATTATTGCACATTGGTTGAATCCGTATCTGTAAAGGAAGGAATCTTTAGTTTGGGGTGAATTTTAATTGATATCTTGATTTGAGGATCGCTGGTCCGTGTCTGGGTTTGATGAAAGTAGATGAAATTATTTGCCCAAGTCGCATTTTGGATTATAATTCAGAATCTCCTCAGCGCTATCCTGTGTGTTGTCTTACTGAAAAACTGAATTCAGCAACCAAGAGTGAAAGATACAAAAGCACGGAGACTACATAAAGAACACAGGATCTAAATCAAAGTAACACACCAACAACTAAAACAGCACAACACTTTTAAAAGCATTAGAAATCTTGTTCTACTCCAAGCTCGTCAAGTAGGCAAAGCTACTGCCTTATCCCTAACATCCTTCTCTCGTGGAAATAGGGTCTAAACTAAAGAGGCGTGGCCCAAATCTCCAATACAGAGCTGCAAAACATGCTGCTGCACAGAGTCTAGATGGCTGCGAACCTAGGAACATCAACTGGGAACTGATGAACCTCATCCATCCAAGGGTTCTTCTCCTTCGCTGGTTTTACTTTCCTCAAAGCCTTCCAAACTGCACTGTTGCACTTGAATCCAGATCCAAATGCAATCTGCCATATTCTATGCCCTCTCTTAATCCTTCCCTTGGCTTCACTATAAGCCAATTCGTACCAGAGTGAGCTGCTCGAAGTATTGCCAAACCTGTAAAGCGTCATCCTTGAAGGCTCCATGTGCCAGTCCGTTAGTTGCAGGTTCTTCTCTAACTCATCCAGCACGGCTCGTCCTCCTGCATGAATGCAGAAATGCTCGAAAGCCAGCTTAAAATCGGGGATATATGGCTTCACCTTCATCTTGAGAACTTTCTTGGCCACCAGAGAGGCGAAGAAGAGCAATTGTTCAGACATTGGCAACACAAGAGGGCCCAAAGTGGTAATGTTGGTCTTCAAAGCATCCCCTGCAACTGCCATTAGATCCTTTGACAGAGAAACACCGATCCTCCCAGTGGAATCCTCTCTCTGAGTAACACAAGTGAAGCACTTGTCATCAGCACCTTTGTGGGTTCGAACTGTATGCACCAACTGATACTTTGATCGATGCCTGTCAGGCCACCTGTTAGAAAGCAATATTGCAGCTCCCCCCATTCTGAACAAGCAATTTGAAACGAGCATGGACCTATCGTTTCCAAAATACCAATTCAAGGTGATGTTTTCCATGCTGATGACCAGAGCATAGGAACTTGGATGGGCCTGAAGAAGATCTTTAGCAAGATCGATGGAAATCAAACCAGCACTACAACCCATGCCACCAAGATTGTAACTCAGAATGTTCCCACGAAGCTTGTAATGATTAATAATCATAGCAGAGAGAGAAGGTGTGGGGTTGAACAAACTACAATTCACAATCAAGATTCCAATGTCTTTGGGTTTCACCCGGGTTTTTTCAAAGAGCTCGTCGATGGCTCCAAACATGACCATCCGAGCTTCCTTTCTGGCTTCTTCCATGTTAGGATTTGGAGGAACCCTCAGAACAGCTTCAGGAAGGTACGTAGATTCACCGAGTCCAGATCTTTCCAATATTTTCCTCTGGAACTGGAGGTTTTCCTCAGTGAAGGTCCCAGTCGAACCTGACCTATCCATGAAAATTTGCCTCGTGCATTTGCGTGCATCCTCAGGCTTGTAACAAGCGAAATCCACGAGGTAAATAGAGCGAGGTCGGGTTAGGAAGTAAAGGGTGAACAAGAAGACGAGCAGAGCAGAGAAGATGATAACAGAGATAAGATTGTATCGGAGGTGATTCCAAAGGTCAAGGAGATCCTGCAGTGAAAATGTAGAGACTTGGGCTGCTATTAAAAACATTAAAGGCAATAAAACCAGCAACATTCCATGGGTTATGAGGTAGTGGTATCCCAATTTCACGTATTTAAGTTTCACAGATCGTTTGAAATCCGGGAGCTCTCGTGAAGAAGATTCCACCAAGAGAGATTTTGGATTTGATTCCGACATCTTGAGAGCTAGAGGGTTTCCGAGAAACAGGTCGGAATGGAACGAATCAAATGTGACAGGGATTAAAATTTCCAGCCGATATCAATCATGCATGGAAGAGAAACAAGTATGAGCCAGTTTCCGTCAAATGAAGACTTGACGACCCGGGTTGATTCTCCAGAAAAAATTTGCTTGCTTGGGACTTTCAGGGCGCGACAAATGAAATGGGGGAAAAGAAGAGTCAAAGAAATAGCGACGAGAAGACGGGATAACCACCCGGACGAAACCAAGTGAAGAAATGCCAGAGGAATCAAAGCAACCCTGCAAACATGAACGAAAGTTCTCAAGAAAGAGAAATGGGGCCGACTATAGATCAAGAAAAGAAAGCATCATGACTCTTTCTTCATCGTCGAAAAAATGGAATCTTACTGCGAGGCTCTTTAAACAATGACCAAGATAATGATGAAACATTAAGAAACACCATACTCAGTCACCACAAAAAGGAAAACGCCATACTTATCAGGGGAGATCGATTTGAAAAGAGAAGAGGAAGCCGACCTCAAGATGGAGAATCTCAGAGGGGTCACCCTCCTCTGGCCGCTGGGCCTCAGAAAACAACGGAGAGAACAGAGTAGGGAGCGAAACCCGAGGCCCGCACAGTGGTTCTGGCGAAATGCAACTGACAAAGACGGCACAGGATTTAAGGAAATTGAAGAGAGCGGTTGGAAATATTTACGATGAAAAATTCCGTATTCCACAATAAATTTTTTTACTCAGAACAAACACCCGATTTCCTCTTTCAGAATTGTATGTTGCAGATGCTCTGTTGAATTTACTGACACCGTATTTAACATGTTGATGAGAAATATTAAAATTCGCAGTTACTGGGTCCTTGAACGAGTCTCACAATGCAAACTATACAATATACAGTAGAAAGCATTCATTTTTCAAATTCAAGAAGTAATACGCATTCCATTCCAGTTCCAGACAGAAAAGGAGAAAGAAAAAAATGAGAGGACGCAAATTTCGAGGTGACACCTTCATTTAGAAATAGGAATAGCTTTTTGGTGCATGCAGCACGTGGAGCGTCTCTCACTGGGGAGCCGATTCTCCTATTTCCTTCTTTTTCAATTTAAAAAAAATGATAGCAATGAAAAGCTTCCAAAACAGTGAGGGGAGAAGGCATTTACTGTTATTATGAGATTTGAATTTTGAGCGGTGGAAATCCAAGGAGAATAGTTCAAAATTAATTTATGAACTAATGCCTGGGAAGGCAATGTTTTCAAATAAAAATGGAGGAGGAGGGCGGGGCAGTGAGTGGGATGATAACAACATTACAGCTCTACAAAGAACGAGTCCAGGTCACGATCATATGCGCCACGACTAGTTTACGGTGAGTGTGGGAAAATGGGATCCAAAATATGAGGACCAATATTAATTAATTAATATTGAATCCCATGATCATGAATCCACGTGCGCCTCTCTCTTCTTCTTCTTTGTTTTGTCAATTAAATCTGGATAACACGCTGGGCAATTGCAAGTGAACATGGTTGTAATAATATAACGTGAAGCAATCAGCATGTGGGGATGTAGTTTTCATCCGTCCTCTCGCGTCAGTCCTCCTCCTACATGCACACCTAACCCGCAACTAATAACAGATATGAAGAATTCATCTTAATTGGAGGATGTGCATGCGCATTAGTAACAAAGTTCTCTGTCTTAATTAGGTTTGCCACCTCACATACTAATGATCTTTTTAAAATACTACCTCCAGTCCTTAATATAAGACTCCGTTTGACTTTTATATTGGTCTTAAATATAAGATCTCAATCCACTTTGTCTCTCATATTTACTCAATTTTTTCTAAGATAGTCATTCTAATAATTATAATTTTGACCAATATATTTGATTAGTAAGGATATTTTAGAAAAAATAACACCTATTTATTACAAATAACTAACTTAACTTCCTTTCTTAATTTTCTCAAATTAGTCAACTGGCTCTTATAATTAGGACCGGAGGTAGTAACTTATAAACAGTTTTTCAATCGTGATTTACGAAATACGATATGAGAAGAGTTTTATCTTAACTTATATAAAATGTGCGTATAAATGATTTCAAATATAACTGCAAACGGGGCCTAAAACTGCATCTATCTAACATGCCAATCTGGATTTGATACCCGTGAATCCTATTTAGGCATTTGCCAGATGCTGCTGAGGGCAACTAATCACGCAAGCACATCCCCTCCCCAACCACCAAGACCAAAACCAGAATATTCTGCCAGGCCCATTAGCCCAAAACAGTGAATGGCCCAAATCACATTAATCGGGCCAGCCCGTTTCTTGGATTTGACAATAGCCGGGGGGTGCTGACTGACCGTCTGTCGTCTTATTCGTCAAATGTATGTTGTTGACTAATGATGGGGAAATGCTAGATTTTCTTATTTTCATGTGATAATATAATGAATACAGGCCTCTGGTCTTATAACACTTGTCTTTCAAATACAGATCGAACGCATGATGGCAGATAGGAACATGTATAACAATGGGCAAGCGCAGAAGTGAACTCGTACTTATAATCACACTCGTTGCTTTAGGATGTCATTATTAAACGGGACAATAACTGCACTCAATAATCAGTGAACCAGTACGTAGTGGAATATGTTAACATTTGGAGACCAATCATGTGATGTCCAACCAGAAAAATAATAATAATAAGAAGCAGATCATCTATCAAGACAAAACACAGCTTTTTGGATGATGACAGGTGCTAACAAAAAACAATTTTACATGGTTGGCTTAAACATCTAACTGCGTCACTAATAACGATATGTGCGTGTGTAAGGTGTTTCTGAACAGAATTGAACACATAGATGGATTCCCTCCCCACCCTTGTTTTGGTTGATGCTCTGAATTCTATTTGTCTTTTACCTATGTCTCTGCCATTCACTGAACATGTCCACATCTATATCTGTAAACAATTAGACGGCTGGTCCCGAGGTGAGTCACCCTGCATATTTCAAATGCACATCATGACACGATCACTCAGTTTCGTCCGTTAATGACATACTTGCATTTTTAATTTCTCTCTTTTACCAGCAATAAATACTCATCAACCACAATGTCTCATTTGGGAAAAAATAATAATAATAATGAAACAAACATTTACTATTATATGATTATTTACTGATTCCATGGAAGACAATGAAGCGACACAGTGCATCACTCTGGGTGCGGGTGCAACAATAAGCAATCCTCCACATGGATGCATTTCCTCTGTGGCTTGCGAATTGTCTTTTCTTTTTTTGGGTCGCCAACGGCTTGCAAATACTCCTCCGGTCCTTAGTATAAGACCCATTTAACTAATTTGATTAGATTAAAGAAGTTAGGTAAGTTGGTTATTTATAAAAAATGTGACATATTTTTCCTAAAATACCATAATCATCTTTCTTAATATTCCTCTTCTTCTTCTATTTGATTATGGTTGAGGGAGTATCCATGGGGGTAATTTAGAGAAAATTGATAAATATGAGAAATGAGTCTTATATTTAGGATCAAAACCAACTCAACAATGAGGTCTTATATTAAGGACCGGAGGAGTATTATAGTATATTGATACTAATTAATAATCGCAATAATAAAGGAGGAATACACACACGTATATGTATACGTGTTTATAATAATGTAAATATATATACTACGATGATCGATGAAACATAATAAAAGGGCAAACAGGGGCCGACGCCGCCGACAGATCTTCTGGTCCGGATGCATGGGGATATGGGTGCTCACGACCACACAGGAGCTCTGACCCAAGATCCGCACAACTCAGATGTCGGGTTTTCGGGTCACAGTTATGATCACCCCTTTTATATATAACTATATATATCGAAATAAAAAAAGAAAAATTGGTGCCAAGTGCCAACAGTCTCAGGCAATTCACAAGCCCCCATTCTCTACTATATATGTTGTTTTATTTCGCTGATGAGGGAACCTTATGACTTTCTTTTTCGTCCTTTCTTTAGGATGTGTTTGGTATGAGGGATTTGGGAGGGAGGGAGGGGAGGGAAGGGGAGGGATTTTAATTTTTTTTTTTTGTTTGACAACACACAAATTTTAAGAGAGGAGGGAAAATTTTAAAAAAAATTTTCTCCCTTCCCCTCCTCAACCTCCCCTCCAAAATTGGGAGGATTTGGAAGGGAAGAGCAGTATTTTGTCATGTTGTGACTATTATGCCCATATTTTGTCATGTTGTGACTATTATGCCCATATCTTAAATAAAATAAGAACAAAATTGTCCATATTAAAATATTTTTCCCTCCCCTCCCCTCTTTTTTTATAAATCCAAACAAGATAATATTAAAATCCTTCCACTCTCCTCCCCTCCCCTTCCTCTCATTGAGCCAAACATACCCGGTGGAGACTTCGGTATTATTTCACGTATCAGCATGCGAAATAATACAGGTTCTCAATAATAATAACAATAATAAATAATCAATTTTTGGGGTCAATTTGAATGATTGACGATGAAGTCAGCCCTGATGCTAGCTTAACACATGTATTTTAAATCGAAATAAAATGTGTTAATAGTTAGTTATAAGATTGAGAATATATAATATCCTTGCCGCCCAAGAGATTTCCCATTATTATACTTACCATTACTTGATGGAAACTTCGCTTTTGTAATCTGACTTAATTACCTAAACTCTCAACCACATTTACTTAATTAAAAATCAAGTGTTTTTACTACCAACAAGGATATTATATTTGAATATGAGTACAAAATGCTTATATCTATATTTTACTTTTATATAAGATACTACTATATATTATTTTTAAATTGGAGAATTGATGATAAAAACAAATGGGAGGCACATGGGATGTTGAGGATCGTGAACATGCATGAAGTGTAGAAGACAAAACAAAGATTGGGTATCTAAATGGCTGGGAATTTGTGGATCATCTTCATCTATCTGTTCCTGCATGGGGGCATTATGTGACTGCCAAGTTAACCCGAAAAGTCAACCATATTGTTGTTTAAAGAAAGACGCCAGCTTCAGTAATTCTCAAGTTTTCCCCTTTCAATTTCTAATCTATCCAAATCCTTCTACGTACGTTGATCCCAAAAATATTGTATGCACGCCCCTCACGAGCTTAATTAATTATTCTATTCTGCACTCTGGTTTTGATGATCCTATATTCATTGTAACATAGAAAACAGGTTGACTTGTATATGATAACGTTAAAAGAAATGAAGGCATGCACGTAACGGTTAAGTTCATTCTTTTCCACTCAATTTTTCTTTCTCTCCAGACTTTTAAAGCTACAAGTTCCAAAAGATCCAAACTTTATTAGATGCACGAAGGAACATGTGTGTAAAAAGAGTGAACGTGCTCAAACCTCTAAATTGTAATTTTCAACAGATAATTATATGATTATGATTAAAAAAAGTTAATTTATTTCAGATTCGGTGCCATGACATATTATTCTGTGTTCAGCTTGCGGGGTGGGGAAGAAGTGATTCTTTTATTTGTATGATGGCTTACGCATAACTTGGAATATAAATTTAATAAAGTCGGCAGCTAGTTGGCCGCTGAGGATGGAAGGAGGAATTTACCAGAGATG